ATATTTGAGTTCAATTTGATTTGATTTGATTTGATTTGAAAAATCAAATCAAATTCAAATTGCTTAAATATTTGATTCAATTCGATTTTGAAGAACCTTAGTCATCACTATTGACAATATCATTTTCATTATTAACGTTCTTATTATCATCGCAATTGATATCATTATTATTATCAATATCATTAACTTCATCACTATCAATATCATTAGTGATTTTATCATCTGATCTGTTTAAAGGAGTTGATATCTCATAAGTCCTAAAAGACTCTATAATCATTTCATTTGGGATTACTTTCTAAGTGTGTTTGACCTATCCACAAATATCAGATAATTTAGCTTGACGAAGATTTTCTGCAGGAGTCACTCAGTCACCACCTTCAGCCATCTAAAGATATTATTCTTTGCAAAAAATTTTTTTAATTGTTAACGATGCAATCTAGCTGCAGTATTTTATTTGTATTGTAAATTGAAGAAAAAATCTAGAAAAGTACTAAAATACGCAACTTACCTTATGGTTCTATTTCAAACTTGTTTGAATCAACTGATCACTGTCACCTCCGAAGTGATGAAAATAAAGTGTTAAAAAGCATCTAATTTTTAAATGTCCTTCGGTCCCTAATTTCCCTCAAAAGAAATTCTAATACTAAAAACAATACCTGAAGTAGGGAATTGATACAAATAGAAATTTACAAATGACCAAAAATAACTTTATAAGTCCTAGCTAAAGTTTAGTCAATTCTAGCTTAAAGCGATCACCCGGCAGAAGAAGATGCGTCCAAGTAATTAGGTCCAAACAAAGGCTCTTCATACTTATAAATTCATAAGATACAGAAAAAATATCATATGGAATCCACTACGAAAAATCTACAAGACATCTACAAGTAGTAACCTATACCCTTTACCTGATTACTAGGGAGGCATGAATCTAGACGAAACGAACTTACACTAAGTAAGAATCTTGACAATAAAGGCCTCCTGTTGCTCTATTTCAAACTTGTTTGAGCTAACAAAAATACCAGACCAAGTGGTAGCTACCATCACATCAAATAGGTGATATCTAAAGATACTAAAGTAGATATGATGCTAAATTTGCACGTGATCATCAATGATAGAGGATCTGCAGAAAGGCAAAGGCCAATCAAAAAAGAGTATATTGTTAGGAAGTGAAAAGGTGTTATCACGTGAGATTTGTTATTTCAAAGTATATCAATCATGATTGTTGGTTGGGATGTTCACTTTTTAGTAGACAAAAAAGAAAGAGAAAAATGGAAAAAATTTTTTTGAAAAGAGGTAAAGAAAAATATTTAACCAAAAAACAACACTGTTTAGACTATTTCGAAAAAATTTATGTGGAGAGGGGTGTAGGCAGTGATGTACATTTTCAATGTCCCAAACATTTTGAGACTGTCCCACACTATGTTCCAAAATGTCTCACATTAAGTCCCAATGTTCCAGACCATGTCCCAAAAATGTCCTATGACAACACTGGGTATAGGGAACAAAGAGAGGAATATTTTTGAAAAGCGAGGTTTTTTGTTTGTTTGCAAGTTAAGCTGCGGCTGTTTTTAAATGAACACTTTTTTCAAGTAAAAATTCTTGAAAAAAATCCAACAAGGAGAAAGAGTTCTTCTTTGCGAAGATTATCCTTGAATAGCTTATTAATAGTGACATTGAGTGGTTGATAAATGTTGGTTAAACTACTTAGAATGACTGCCACATCAATGCTACTATCACGAAATTTGCTTTTAACAGATTCTTAGATATATTCTCAAAAGAACCATTATCGTTGAAGCATTATTAATCATTTCATTAACATAATCAACATATCTTTTCATCAAATTAATATCCATCCACCCATTATTTTGAAACCAAGTGATGATATCAGATGGAATTTGTTCATCGCTCAATAATCGTTTCCTTTAAAGATGCAAATCAGGAGAAATTTTGTTTCATCTGTATATAGAAAATGTTTAATTACAGTAATTAAAAAAATCTTCACCACAAATTTTACAGGAATAATAAAATGATTCCTACCTGTAACACATGTCAAAATAACTGTAAATTAATTTTTTTTATTTCCAATCCTACGAATATGAATTTCTTTTCACCTGTTTGATTGATAGTAAAATTTTCTGCTATGTCAAACCAGATAGGAGTTTTATTCATATTGAAAATGTTGGACAATTCAAAAGATTTTTCAATTCTAAGGCGGATAATAAATGATGAAAGTTTTTTAGTAATTCATTGGTTTGTATAGAAAGCTTTTGGAAAATTCTGGTATGATGTCATTGAAATAGTTTATATCTCTTCATAAAAACAAATATTCAACGAGATAATGTTTTAAATGCTGAATTTCTATAAAGGTTTATTATCTCAGGCTCCTTTAAGATATCTAGCATTTTGACTCATGCGATTACATAAGTAATATCTAATCTCTACTTCTTCTGCTCTATAATTCATTTATACAATTTTTTTTCAATTTCAGGGTAAAATTTTTTCATCTAGCATTAACTTGCTTGACCTTTTAATCTGTCTCAGTTACCTATTTATTGCTTGCTTTGATCTAACGACCAACCATGCTACTATTAAGTCTAAAGTTTCTTGCTACTTCATTTTTTTTATTTTCCTTGACATAATTGACGACTTCCCTCTTTTGCTCAATAGAATATGAATTTTGACTTTGTATAATGAGTTTAAGAGCCTTATTTTCATTTTTATTTCTTGAATGAGGTAATTTAAAACAGTAAGAATGCAGACAAAAAGCCACTTTTTAAGAATTAGAAGTCACGTTATTTTATAATATGCGTTACATTACATAAAAAATCAGCGATCAATTATTATTAAATTTATTACTAAAAATAAAAAAAATTACTAAAATAAAATTTTTTTAAAAAGTATTCAAAATTAAGCACCCTTATAACAAAAGGGTGCTTAATTTCGGAATAATACAGTCATTAAATAATATTTACAATATAGTGTTTTATATATTTTTCTTAACAAATTAAACAATTAACTCCAATAAATATAAATATTTAATATTAATAAAAAGAAAAATTGAACTATAAAAAAAAAATACTTCTTAAATTAAATAGAGATATTTTTATTTTTTATATGATTCTTTAAAATAAAAATATTCATATTGTTTATTTGTTTTATTATTTGTATAAATCAAAATTTTATATTCAATTCTTTTATTTGTTATATATACTTTAATTCATTTAACAATTTTTTTCTAATGTATTTAGTTAGAGACGTGATTTTATAAAAATGCATTTATAAAGAATTCATTACTTCTTTCCTTCATAAGGTTGGGATAATATTAGACTGAATAACCAAAATTAACAAAAAAAAAATATTGCATCACAAACTTAATGATAAATGTGGCTTTGAACATTGGAAATAAATAAACAACTAGCATACAAACTTTTGTAATTAATAAAATCCAAAAATGAATAAAATTTCTATAATTTAATATCCTTCACTAGCTAGAAAAGTAGCAACACTTAAATAAAATTCGATAGGATCAAAATTAGAACCGATCTTCATCCTCCACCTATCAGTTAAATCCCAATGATCACATTTAACAGTTCTAACATACTTACCCCATTGTGCAGATTTTATACTAACCAACCCATCATTTGGACCATCCTTATCTTTAATTATTTGATGAGGAAAATATAATGGGGACCAAATTGGTAAATCCATTGCCGCACCGTATGAATAATAAGCAACTGAAGGATGATTTGGTGTGTTCTTATTGAAATGATTAACACAAAAATCCGTTGTAAGATTACTATAAGCTGGTGTATCCAACACTTGAATTAGTAATTTTGTAACAGGATGAAGGAAAGATGATGTCGTTTGTGGGATAGAAGATAAATTAATATTTGAGAGATTAATAATATTAGGTAAGGAAATATTAAAATTTAAATTAGGAATTGAGATGTTTGGTAAATTTATGTTGAAAGATTTTTTGTCTTTAACAATTTCATTATTATCATTATTCATTTTCTGAACTTGATTTTCCTTGCTATTAGGATTATTTTCATCCATTTCTCTTAATGTCTGTTGAATATCTTTATTATTTTCCCGATAAGGTGGAGATGGTTTATTATTGGAATGAGATTGTTCTTTAGAATTATTTTGAGAAATTCGATCTTCAATTCGTTTTATAGCATCATCCACAGCTTTTGCAGTCGCTTCAACAGACTTTGCAACCCCAATATTATCTCTACACCAATCCATAAAAGGACTTCCTCGATGAGGTGTTGCTATGGTAGTCAATGAACGAACTGAACAATGTTTTGTAGGAAGGTGAGCAATTAAATAACGACAATCAAGTCCGCCCTAAAATTTAAAATAAATTTATCGTTGGTAAAATATTACCATCATGAAAATTTAATAAAAATTTATCGGATATTCACAAAATGTTGGTTGTCAAACCATTGAATGAGCCAACAAGTTCACATCAATTCCACCCGAACAGACGGTTTCCAGCGTATCATGTAAAACCTGAGCTCGAGCTCTAACATCACCGGTCCTAATTATATGAAGAATCCATTAGAAAATATCACACTTATCAAATTGTGAATAAATAAATAATTACCTTGGAACTTTAGTAACAACGATTTTCGCACCAAGTTTTCGTAAAGCTTCTTGAATACCTCCCCAATAATGAATTTGCAAATATGGAATAGATGAAGGTCCTTAATAATAATTAAATTACAAATCAATTCTCTGTTCAGTAGAAGTAGTAAATTTTCCTGCATTAAAAACTTCACATACCAAGTTTATCAAATCCAAATAAACCTATTGTAATACATTAAAAAAAATCATATTATTTATTTGCATATTAAAATGAGAATAGTTTGTCCCGATAACATACCATGACACAAGATGATAGGTAACTTTGGAGCACAATAATTTGATTTTACTGGCATTTCCAACCCACTTCGTTTTTCAAAATTTCCATTATTATTTCTATGAGAAGAATTACTGTTTTCAGAACAGTTCGCTCGAAGATTAGTATCAACAGTTCCAATAAAGCTTAACCGCTGTTTTGCTTGTAACAAAGCGACTGAAGTTGCAGAAACAACAGCTGTAATCGCTTGTCTAAGCTGTACCACTTTTGCAGAAGCGGCTATCTGCAACATTTAGTCCCAAATATACCCAAGTATTATGTAAAAAAAAAACAAAAGGAGCAATCAACTTTTATATACATGCGTTTAAAAGCGGAAAATTAAATTTTTCCATAAAAAGTAATTAAAATAATTTCCCCGGATATCGATTGTTAGACGTAACATAAACCGAACATTGACTTCATAGTCTAACTAAATGGGGTAAGTGAAGGAAAATTAGGAAAATCTAAGATCATATGCATCTATCGATTACTTAACAAAATAAAATCACGTGATACTGTCGGTGATCAATCTTTTTTCTTTTTATTTTACAATTATTAGAAATAAAAAGTTTTTTTTGTGTTAATTAATATATTAAGTTTAATCTATTATGTCAACAAAATGAAGCAACAAAAAATTATTGTAAATAAAATCAAATGAGGGGGGTTTTTTTTTAAAAAAAAAAAAAAAAAATTAAAAAACAAAATTACATAAACCCTTAAATAATCAATATAATAGAGGATTGGGATAACTTTACAAATCAAATAATAATAAAAAAATATATAAACAAATTATTCTTGAATAGCTGGGTTGTTATTATTAAACTTATTCACTTTCATCAGAAGGATCAGGATTTGCCACAAATAACCTTCCTCTTGGAGGTTGATTATCTGAGGTACTATTATCAATAGGAGAAGTCGGTACACTACTGCCAGTTATGCCATCTTCATAAGTGTTATGACCATCCCAAGTACCACTTCTTATTCTAGTACTAACAGAAATAGGAGGGGGTGAAGATAAACTAGAACTATTTCTTGGAGAATTTAATCTAGGAACACTTCTTAAACTTAATTTTCTGTCATCAGCAGAAGCAGTACCAGCTAATGCAGATAATGCTTCAGTACGAAATAATGGACTATTAAATATACCACCAACACCTCCCCCTTCATCCGTTGAAGTTGATGTTGTATCTGTTGTATCTATTTCTGTTGGAGATGAAACTAAATTAGATGTATCTTGTGGTGGAAATAATGATGATGTTGATATTCTTAGTGGAGGCGGAGGTGATTGTGGTTGTTGCAGCAGCTGTTGTTGTTGTTGTTGTTCTGTCGATTTAGCAGGAGAGGGAGTTCTAGTACGATTAATTGATAATGGAGCCACGGGAGGTAAATTAAAATCAAATTCAGCAGGAGCTGTATTTGAATCAGAATCTAATCGTAAATTAGACGGTGGTTTAATATAAGTAGACGCACCATCAATATTAGAAAGAAAATCATTTTGAAAATCTTTTGGTAAAAATACAGGTGTGGTTGGGGTAGGGGTAGCCGTGGGAGAGGGAGGAGTAGAATAAGCACTTTGTTGTTTTGGAGGAGGAGTTGGAGGAGATAAATAAGGAAAATGAGTATTCATAAGAGGTGAAGGAGTAGTAGCATAATAAGGAGTAATGTGAGCTAATTGAGATTGTGAACTATTACTTGGAGCTGATCCCCAAGAATCATGTTGATCTATAGGTGTTAAATTTTTTCTTTCAGTTATTGAACCAAAAGAATCTTGACGATTTTGAGTCGCAAATGGAGGAATAAATGAAGGTACATTAGAAACGTTAGTAGTTCCACCAGCACCACCTTGTGACAAAGGTGATGGACCATAAGTATTATTTAAACTGTGCAGTGGAGCAGGACCAGCAATTGGAGGTACTGACGCTTGTTGTTTGTCATAAGGCGTAGCAGCAAATGAATGATTCTTCCTCCTCCTCCTAACGAAACAGATTAATCCCGTTATAAAAATTAAAAGTAAAAAACCACCAACGCTTGCTCCAATGATTATTTTTAAATTACTTTCATCTTCCTTTTCAGATACCGAGTTGCTTTCTGTACCATTTGGATAAGTTATAGTGATGTCAGGGATTGTATTAGTTAGCTCGAGATCAGTAGGAGTATAAGTTGATTCCCATGTATATGTTTCAGTTTCCTTAGCATCAAGAACAAATAATTTTGTTCCAAATGTAAAATCATTTACCTTACCATAAGTAACAATTACTTTTGTTCCAACCATGGTCATTGTGTGAGCGTATCTTCCCGGTGGCTTGTCTCCCAATATTTGAGGGATTGACCACTCTAAATTAATCCCCCCTGTTTTTAATACTGCTACATCGTCAAAAATTTGATCAAATTCTGCCGTTGCTCCTCCATATATTATGATTCTACCATCTGCTGTTCCAACTGCTCCATGTGCTTTTCTTAGGTTTGGGGGACTTCCTATGGCATTTTGAACCGTCCAAGTTGCTGTATTTGCATCATATACGGGAATTTCCGTCATGGAAGCCAATGTAGATTTTTCACCACCTGATAATGACCCTCCAATAATATACATTTTACCATCGTTTAACAAGGTGGCAGTATGTTGAAATCTACCAACTGCAATTTGGCTAGCATCCGGTAATTGTTCCCATGAAATTGTTTTTCTTGTATTTAATTTGTATAAATCCCCTAATGCAGTAACACGTTGTTCGCCACCAACAGGTGTTCCTCCCCATAAATAAGAAATCGAATCATTTAATCTTGTTACCATTGTATGATCCATTATTCTTGAAGGACCATTTTCTATAGGAGTACTAGGAGTTAACCATTTATTTTCTAACGTATTATATATATATAATGAATTTGTCGCTGTTGCTTGTTCTTTTGGTTCTCCCCCAAACAAAAATAATAATTCGTTTTGATTTCCTCCTATACTACATGAATGAAATGCTAAAGATAATTCTCCCTGTTCTAATAATACCCATGGTGGATTTTTTATATCAAATGGACTTGAAACATCTAATAACATTAATTCATTTCCATTAACTGATGTATCTTCTAATACTTCTACTGTTGGATTTGGTACAATTTTACCTCCATATACATAAAGACTAAATAAAAATTTTTGACATATATTAGTTTCTGAAGCACACAATAAGAATTTAATTACTAGATGCTAATATACGAGATAAGGAATATGATATCATGGAAAGCCACAATTAATTCCTATTCATATAAGGTATCGCTTACCTATCTTTAATTAAAACAGCCGCGTGACCCCTGATATTAAGTATATTTAAAAGAATTATTTAACCAATCAAAGCAAATCTAATAGAACACAACACGAACGCTTATTATATTATTATTCTTACCATCTTCCTAGTGTAGGTGGTGAAGGTTGAGCATCAACAGATATAATAATACATTGAAAAAATATAGATATTCCAATTATAATACCTACACAACTTTTCCTTTTTCCTATATTTTGTGCAATTTTTTGCACTGGATTATCATATTCAACACTCATTATTATCAAATATACACGACTATAAGTAATGATTATGTAATAATCTAAAATGGTAAAATTATATAATATATATTGGTCGTAATTAATTTTTTTGAATTTTTAAAGAAAAAAAATAATTTTTAACGTACGCGGACATCCGAGTTTGAATATGTATGTTTATAATAAAATCCATCCACTATCTCACTTTCAAATTGTGGGTAGTTTATCTAGCCGGTTTTTTCCCTTACTGGTTCTTTTCACTTGTAAGATCCAATAGTAATAAATAATGTTCCCAAAGAGGTAACCGAATATTATATATGTCTTTTAACGTGGACCTCTTTTTTTTTAAAAAAAAAAAAACGAAAACGAAAAAGAAAATGAAAATGAAAATGAAGCCTCTTTTTGTTAAATAAGTAGTTTTGTTAAAATGAATTGAATAAAATGAACAAATTCATTGAAAAAAAAACGAGGTAAATAGCTTCAACCGTGTAACTCTCATTATTATGTTATTCTTATCCATATAAAGACTTTAAAGTCCAACGTTCGTTTAAAAATAATTTATTTACTATTTTGGTTACAATCTTTATCAAAAACCAACTTAGAAATTACTATAAATAAAAAAACAAAATCCTTATTTTATAATGTTTGTTATTTTATGTCTCTAAAAAGTAAAATCCAATTTGAAGAATTCAAGGGTAGGTTGTGATAACCGGAAAAATAGATATCGGATATCTATAAATTTATTGCGATGATCTCATAAAACGAATCGCGTTTATTTTTCTCACCGGAAAAGTTTTTCTCTTCGTATTGGTAATCTATATTTCTAGATAACATGAATAATTCACCTAATATAGAAAAAAGACATCGAATTAAAGAACTTTTGAAACGTAAACAACCAACTGCACATTCTATAGTAAATGAAAAAGTAAACAACAAAATAATTACAACAACCAACTTATCAAATGTTTCCACTGAAAAAATAACCGAACAGCTTCCGATTGCTAAGTTTATGACAACTACTAATACTAAAACTACCGTTGCCACCACTGAATTGTGCGTTTGTGTAGTATGTGGAAGGGATCTTAGTTGCTCCCCTCTTCATACGAGAGAAAAACATTTTAACGCGTGCCTAGATGATAAAATTGAAATTGAGACCAATTCTACTTCCTATAAAAAGTCCGGCGAGAAACGACAGGAAAATAAAAAACAACAAAATTCTTTATTTGCCATTGCAATAGTATGTCCATGTTGTAATAGAACTTTCAAAGCTAAGACCGAGAAAGGAAAGCTTGAACATTTTAAGAAATGTGGTAAAAAATATAAGCACACGCCATCTAAAATGTTAGAATTTCTGCAAGAACTGAAAATCAAATATGGAAGAGATCATCCTTACACAATGAATTCGATTGGTTTGACCTCTACAAGATCTGTTTCATCATTACACACACGTTCAGAGCCGCCCAAAGAAAAGAAACTAACCAATTATTTCAACTCAATTTCTAAAGATAAAAGTGAACCGGCTAAAATAGATCGTACATACAATTTTGTCGTTTCACGTTCATATGACGTTTCTGTAATTGATGATGAGGATGATGATGATTTCCAGAGCTCAATAGTATTTAAAGCTAGATCGACCGTAGAAAGTTCCAATAAATGTAAAAGGGAAATCGATGATGATGATGATTTTCAAGTTGGTGTAGCATTGTCGAGATCTATGTTACCACCCGAAAGAAAATCTCGAAGGAAGAAAGTTAAATACGATTTGAACACCACTCCAATTTTACCTTGTGCGGAAGCTATTAATAAGGCGAAAGAACGAGCTGTATCAATGTTTTTCAATCGTCCAACCATTAACGAGTTCACCAAGAATTTATCTTTCAAACCAGAATTTTCGAAAAGTAAGGTGGGAGAAAAATATATTCATCGAAACTACAAGGAAATAGAGGGTTACTCGAAACGGAAAAGGCACTCTTTTACATGGTGGGAAATACAAGCTTTTGGAGGTGATGATAATCCTTTATCAAGAGAGGATTATATTACAGATATGATTTGGCATTACCATACATAATCTTGGCGAAAATTTTAACCCATTTTAATACTAAGTTAACCGGTAGGCAGAGTTATTCATATAAATATAATTTAAATCAGCTACTTAATAACAAATGTCTACACGTTTTTATTACAGATGTTTATGAGATTCAACAAAAAAAAATAATATAAATACTCTTAACAAAGTTGATTTCAAAAGAAAGTTTTTCAAAAGTATTATATTTGTGTATAATCTTTTTTAGGAAATTTTATAATTTTACAATAAAATAGATGATTTAATAATATAGTTTTTTAATACAAAATCACGTGATCTATAGTGAATTTGATTGGCCTAATATGTAAATTTATTTATTTTTTATTTTCTAAAATAATCTGATTAAGTATATTATTAAGAACTTTTCTATATGATTTATATTTTTTTTTTGCAAATACATCAAGTTTTCCTATAATGCCTTTCCTTATAAAAGAAAAATATATGTTTAAAAAACATATAATATATTAGAAAATTAACTTTTTTCATATTTAGAAAAATACTAAATTTATACATATATTCAGTATAAATTTTACATAGATTTTATATGATTAATCAGTAGATTGTATGTGTAATTTTGCAAAGATTTTATACATCTATTTAGTATATCATATATAATTTTACATAGATGTTATATATTTATTTAGTATATTATATATATTATATTGCATAGATTTTATATGTATAATCAGTATATTGTATACATTATTTTAGTTAAATTTTTTACATGTAAACATTAAATTGTATATATTATTTTGGTTAGATTTTTTTATATCTAATCAGTATATTATATATATTATTTTAATTAAATGTTTTATATCTAATTAGTATATTGTATATGTTATTTTAGTTAAATTTTTTACATATAAATATTAAATTATATATTATTTTGATTAGATTTTTTATATTTGATTAATATATTATATACATTATTTTGGTTAAATTTTTTATGTACAAACATTAAATTGTATTTGTTATTTTGAAATAGAATTTTTATTTCTAATCAATATATTATATACATTATTTTGATTGCAATTTTACACATTTAGTAGTTTAATCTGTAGATACATTATGTGAATATCTGTATAAATACACAGATATCCAGATAGTAATTTTAAGTAATAGATATCAATTAGCAAATATGCAGATATCTATGGATATCTGTTCATATGATTCATGTCATATAATATCATATGATATTATATGATTTTCATATTATAAAAATGAATTATTATATGATTATTAATGTAACTTTTTTTATAATTTAAAATGTTTAGCAATAAATTTAACGAAGAAATACTATAATCAGAAGATCTTGAAGAAGCTTTAAACCCTGAAGCAAATGGTTTAAAAAGATCAAGAAAAAAACATAAAAGTCATTAAAATGACAAAGATTAACTTCACATGTAAATTAAATAAAATAACTAATTAGCTAATGTTAATTCAAAACATAAAATTACTAGAACATAATTGGATATAATGATATTTTATCAGTTTAAGCAGTTAGACAATATAAAAAGTAGTAAGATATTTAGTTTACAAAGAAAGAATGATGTAAAATCATATAATTTTATGAGTTCTGATAATTCTACTAGTAATTTTATTGTTTATCTAGCTATATATCGAATTACTAAAAAAAATCATAATAAAATAAATGTAATTGATATTGAAAATTTATTGGAATCTTGATTAAGAATAATTAATCAATTAATATATGCAATAATGAAAAATTTATTGAATTTATTCATAAATTTGATTTGAATTATCAATCTCTAAATGATAAAATAATTTAACAATTATTAGCCAAAATATATAATCAAATCAATACTGTTTTAATAAAATTATTTAATAAAAATATTTTTTTTTGTTCTATAATAATAGATTTTTAGACAACTTGAAGTAGATTTAGTTATATTAGTATAATATGCTCTTTTATTGGTAATAATTTTAGGTTTTGTAAAGTAATATTATTAGTTTAATATATGTCTTATCTCTATTCTGATGATAATTGTAGAGTTTTATATAAAATTATTTTCAATTAGAATCTAACTGGCAAGATTCTTATAATAACAACTAATAATGAATCAAATATAGTTTAGGCTGGCAAATTAATGAATAAACTTATACAACTCCTCTGTACAATACATACTTATAAAAAAAGGTAAGTTATATATTTTATGATAGATATCATATAGTATCATGATGAAGCTGTAATAATGTATAATAGTAAGGTTTCTGAATTTATTTATCAGAATTCTAATTTAAGTCTAAAATATTCTTTAATATTTTTAGGTTTACTTTCTGTTGAAGTTTGATCATAAGAGCCAAAATATTGATAAATTTATTTACAATACCCAAATAAATGGAAATACTACAGAATATTCATAAAAACATCTATTATTCTAATAATGAGAAAAGTATCTATTTAAATTATTTTTAAGATATAAATAGTAGCAATTACATTAAGTTTATTTTAATAATTCTATTTCATTTATTTATAGCTCAATTTCTATTTCATAAGTTTCATATATTTTAGATTAAACTTTGCTTTTTAATTTAATTTTTATCTTATTTAAATTTCTTAATTTAAATTTTTGATTTAGTTTAAATTTTTCTTAACTTAAATTTATAAATTTATAGTTTAAAATATTTTATCATTATAGTTTAAATTTTTATAGTTTAATTTTTTTAAATAAAAAAATAATACAAAAATTTATTATTTATATAAGTGATTTAAGATTTGTTTTATTATTTTCTATCAAGACTTTGTAATGTATTCTATATATTCTATATAAATTATAAATAATTAATTACAATTTATAAATAAATTAAATAATTATAGAATTTGAAAAAAAAATGACAAATACCTTTAATTAATTGTTAACATAAAAACACATTAGATAGAATTCAAGTTATCTTTCATGAAAATGTTTAATAAAAATTAAAGATCTTATTAATATTTTAGCATTTATCTTGATGATAACAGAACCTAATAACTAGAGTTCTGACCAAATTTTAAATCAAATTAGTTGAGTTAAGTTGAGTTAAAAAAATTTGACTTATTTAATTAGTGCAAAACTCAAGCCTAAAGTCAAGTAAAACTCAAGTAAAAATTTAACAATTTTTTAAAGTAAGTATAAATAATTATTCCTATATATTATTTTAAAAGAACAATAGAAGTTTTATTTTGATAGAATAATAAATCTTTATTCTAAATATATGATAAAAAATTATTGCAATAAAACTATAATATATTATTCTTAAGAAATGATTAAAGAATTATTCTGATAAAATAATATAAAATTTCTATTATGTTATTATTTTTTAATACATCTTTCTAAATGAATATTAAATAATATTATTCTAATAGAATGATGAAAAGAATCATTCTAAAGGAATAATAAAATTATCATTCTAAAGAACAATTATTATTCCAAAAGAACAATTTATTATTATTATTAAGGAACAATTTTATTATCATTCCAAAAAGATCAATTTTTATTATTATTCTTTTGAATCATTTAAAAGAATGATTTTATTATCTTACAAAAAGAATAATTATTTATTTATTATTTTGAAAAATGATTCTTTTTATCATTCTATTGAAATGATATTTATTATTTCTTTAAAAAAATAAATTATTATTCTATTAGAATGATTTATTTATTATTTCTTTAGAATAATACATTATTTTTTTATTAGAATGATTCTTCTATTATTCTTTTAAAATAATATTTTATCATCTTATTAGAATGATTATTCTATCATTTCTTTAGAATAATGTATTATCATTCTATTAGTATGATTTTATTTATCATTTCTTTAAAATAATATATTATTATTTTATCAGAAATATTCTTTTATAATTCCTTAAAATGATAATTTATTATTCTATTAAAATAATGCTATTTAATATTCTTTTAAAACAATCTTTTATCATTTTATCAGAATAATTATTTTTATCATCTAAGATTGCTAGACGAAATCCAAAGTTTAGATAGACATCTAAATGGTAAAAGTAAAACTTGGTTAAATTATATTAAAATCTTATTAAAAAATCTGCAAAATTCAGAAAAAGGTAAAACTATATCAAAGCTTATAAAAATGGCAAAACTATATCAACCACTTAATAAAAATTCAGTGAAATTAAAGGTTAAGTCATTTAGCCAAATCCAAAATGAGTTTAGATAAGCAATTTTAATTAGAACAAATTATTTATCAGACTTTTATTTACTAAATATAACTCAAGTCAAATTGAATTAAGGTTTAAAAATTTTTTTGACTTGACTTGATTTTTTTGAATTGAGTAATGTTTGATAAATAATTACTCAATCTAACTTATTCAGAACTTTAGTGAAATTGCAAATAATTTTACAAAGTTTATTTTGATAAATTTACATTATAGTTCTCTTCCATTTTTTATAAAGATGTTCAATTGTTTATACTTTAATTATTACTTGTAATTTGTAACATCAAATTTAATACTACTATACATTTTTTCTAAAAGGTTAGAATCTTTTATCAAATAAAATAGATGATCTGATATATTTATAATCTTCTATAATATTTTCATTTTCTAGTGATTTCTTTTTTCCCAATATTATTTTTAAGCTGCTAAATATTTTTTTAACTGCTTAAGCCTCTTTTCCTTAATAATTATAATTTCTTCTAATTTATTGATTTTTGTAAAAAATTGTGAATAGAATTTCAATGATGTTGCTATTTGTGATAACTTGATATATTTATATAATTTAACTTTAGCTTATAAATAATATTAACTAACTGTTGTTGTATTAATATATAAGGTAAAATTTAAGTCTTATTAGAAGGATTGGGAAAATTTTCTGAAAGTATTAATAAAGGTTTAGTTGCAGGTTTTGTGAAGATTGTTAAATAAAAGTAAAGGAAAAAGATTGAATTGATATTTTTAATAAATTAGAAATAAGATTTCTAATATAATCTTTTAACTTCTCACTAGCTACTTTATG